TTTCCATTGTCTTTGGATACGTGTTTAATCATTTCTAACTTTCAGATATATTACTAGAAGCAGAACAGATAGGTTAAAGAGATGAACTTTTATATTTTAGATACACTGTTGCCAAACTGTCCTCAAAAAGGTGATCAAGTAATTTGTTTTTTAATATAATTTAGGCAAGAAATTATTCCATAATTACCAAAGATATAATCACCTCATTTATTACTATCTCAGATATCTGTAACTAAGTACAGTACTTTAGAAAATATATTCTTTCCACCTAAATTGGATAATATAGGGTGCCAGATTCAAATATTTCTTTAAGTTCAAATTTTATGGGGCATTTTAATGTTAACACACTACTTTAAAATTAAAAACAAACAACACAAAATTTTCCTATATCCTACTAAAGCACCCAGTATCTTAAAAGTTCATCTTTGAAAACAACAAAGTTCAAAATACCAATTTTTTAGAACCCTAAAAAATTTCAGAAAGGCCCTACCCAGGATTTTCAGGAAAGCTATTGGTAGAAGCCACCATACCTGAGAAATAGGTGTCACCACGAGCTGGTCAATCCCTGTCTTCGAATTGTAAACTTTCTGCTTCACAAATCCAGGGTCCACCACATAGTAGATGCCATCTATAGTCAGCGATGTCTCTGCGATGTTGGTGGCAATCACAACCTGCAGGTGAGAGGAGCACAGCTGGAGTGAGCTGCCCAGGCTCAGCCCTGGGGTATGAAACAGGTCTTCTGAGCTCAAACATCTTCCCAAAGCAGTGTGTGGCTATCTCCCCCTCTAGAGGGTTAAAATGATAGCTAATCCCAGCTCAGCCTCCGATGGGCAGAAGGGGAGGTGCCTTCATCTTAAGAGTTAGGTTGGAAACGGGTAGTACCTGAGAGGAGAAATGGAATAGGAAAAACCTAAGGCCAATCAAAGCCAATTTCATTTGGGGCAAATGGCTACATATCTCATTTTCTAGATCCAATGTTGATTACTACAATTTTAATTTTCTAGCACCCTGGGAAAGCAGAGATTTCCTGGCATCACTCGTGCCAGTGCAAAATAAGATTTTTCCTTCCCCTACTGAGACATCTGGACTACAAAATGGGCTGTTCATATTCTGTAGAACATATATGTGGAACAAGAGGGAGATTGTTTTTTTTTCTGATCATAAAATGAACCGCGAGGTGACAGAGGAATTTTACAGTTCGTGTGTGTGCAGCAATCTATGTGATATGGAATATTATTAGTCTCAGCTTGGCACTGCCACTGTTCTTCCACCCAGAGGTTCAAATAATAAAACATGACTGCTTGGAAAAAGCATTGCTAGGAGGCACCAGAACATCTCACATCATGCCGGCATCTTACTGGCCCTAAAAGACTTCTATTAAATACCTGCCGCAGAGCTGTGGAAGCCCTGCTTAGAAAGAAGTCCAACCGCTAGGAATAGAAAGGAGGAGGAATTTACCATCTTTTCCCCCAAATCTGCTCCTCCTCCCGTGTTTCCCTCCTCAGCACCATCTTCTACCCAGCCGCCCAAGCCAGAAACCTGAGAGTCATGCCTGACTTTTCCCTCACCCTTCTCCCCTCCACCTCCTGGCACCCACCATGTCCTGTCCATTTTAACTCCTTAATGTTATTCAAATCCGTCTTCCACTCCTAGGTATATACTCAAAAGAAATGTAAACATATGTCCACACAAAAACTTGTAAACAAATATTCATAGCAGCATTGCTCACAATAGCCCCAAAGTGGAAATAACCCACATGTCTGTAAACTGATGAATGGATAAACAAAATGTGGTGCACCCATACAATAGTATTTGGCAATAAAAAGGAATGAAGTATTGATACCACAATGTGGATAAACCTTGAAAACATGCTAAGTGAAATAAGCCAGTCACAAAGGACCACATATTATATGATTTCATTTAGATGAAATGTCTAGAATAGGCAAATCCACAGAGATGGAAAATACAGATTGGTGGTTTCCAGGGGCTAAGCAGAGGGGTAAATGGGGGACTGACTGCTAAAGGATACAGGGTTTCTTTTTGGGGTAATAAAATTAGTCTAAAATCAATTGTGGTAATGGTTGCAAAATTCTGTGAATGCAATCAGCCCTCTGTATCTGCCAATTCCACATCCGTGGATTCAATCAATAACAGATCAAAAATATTCAGAAAAAAAATAATACAAATAAAAAACCAATACATCCCATGTCACTGTGGTGTCTGTGGAGAAAAAAAAAGGAGGAAATATAAAAAAACTCAATATGGTATAACAGCTATTTACATAGCATTTATACTGTATTAGGTATTATAAGTAATCTAGAGTGATTTAAAGCTGCAGTCCCCTAACCACTGGGCTGTGGCTCAGTACCGGTCTGTCTGTGGCCTGAGCTCTGCACCACCCCCCCAACCCATGACACCCCACCCTGCCCCACCCAGTCCATAGAAAAATTGTCTTCCATGAAACTAGTCCCTGGTGCCAAAAAGGTTGGGGACTACTGACTTAAAGTACCAAACGGGACCAGGCAAGGTGGCTCATGCCTATAATCCTAGCACTCTGGAAGGCCAAGGTGGGAGGA